TCATACCAATGTTTTGCTCTAGGAGCGCTTCCTGACATATTGTTGAAATATGCCTAAAAAACCTTAAATTTAAACTTTTACATTACAAACGATCTGAAATGTTTAAAACTGCTTCTTTTTGAGTAAGCATGTACATTTTTCAAACGACACAGCTTCAGCTACAAATTCCACCTAACATCGTTTTCATAGAAACATTTCCCGTGTAGTGTAATCGTTTGTGAATGTTTAAATTATTTGATTTTTTTTTAAATTTAATATATTGTTGATTACAATGTTATAAGTGAACATTTTGTTACAGGTTTTTAATTACTTTATGTATTTCTTTTATACCTCTTATTTTTGTTCTAGTATATCTTTTTCTTTTTGGTAAAAAAACAAATTATTTTAATTTGGTTTTTATTTTAGGTGCTCCACAAGATATTACAGCGGAAATTACCAAACTATTCAATGCTCTCAAAGTACATTTGAAAACTTATACTAGTGAAAGATCATATAAATGTGAAATTTGTAGTAAACAGTTTACTTACCTACATAATTTAAATAAACATATGACAGTACACAGTGGTGAAAAAGCTTATAAATGTGAAATTTGTAGTAAGCAGTTTCATGCAAAATGTAATTTAAATAGTCATATCAAAGTTCACACTGGTGAAAAACCTTATAAATGTGAAATTTGTAGTAAGCAGTTTAATCAGCGAAATAGTTTAAATTTTCATATGAGAATTCACACTGGAGAAAGACCTTATAAATGTGAAATTTGTAGTAAGCAGTTTACTCAACTAAGTAATTTAAATAGTCATATAAAAGTTCACAGTGGTGAAAAACCTTATAAATGTGAAATTTGTAGTAAGCAGTTTAGTCATCGAAGTAATTTAAATAGTCATATAAAAGTTCACACTGGTGAAAAAACTTATAAATGTGAAATTTGTAGTAAGCAGTTTACTCAACTAGGTAATTTAAATAGTCATATGAAAGTTCAGTGGTGAAAAAACCTTATAAATGTGAAATTTGTAGTAAGCAGTTTAGTCATCGAAGTAATTTAAATAGTCATATAAAAGTTCACACTGGTGAAAAACCTTATAAATGCGAAATTTGTAGTAAGCAGTTTACTCAGATAAATAGTTTAAATTTTCATATAAGAATTCACACTGGAGAAAGACCTTATAAATGTGAAATTTGTAGTAAGCAGTTTCATGCAAAATGTAATTTAAATAGTCATATGAAAGTTCACACTGGTGAAAAACCTTATAAATGTGAAATTTGTAGTAAGCAGCTTACTCAACTAAATAGTTTAAATTTTCATATAAGAATTCACTCTGGAGAAAGACCTTATAAATGTGAAATTTGTAGTAAGCAGTTTCATGCAAAATGTAATTTAAATAGTCATATGAAAGTTCACACTGGTGAAAAACCTTATAAATGTGAAATTTGTAGTAAGCAGCTTACTCAACTAAATAGTTTAAATTTTCATATAAGAATTCACACTGGAGAAAGACCTTATAAATGTGAAATTTGTAGTAAGCAGTTTATTCACCGAAGTAGTTTAAATTTTCATATGAGAATTCACACTGGAGAAAGACCTTATAAATGTGAAATTTGTAGTAAGCAGTTTACTCAACTAGGTAATTTAAATAGTCATATGAAAGTTCAGTGGTGAAAAACCTTATAAATGTGAAATTTGTAGTAAGCAGTTTAGTCATCGAAGTAATTTTAAATAGTCATATAAAAGTTCACACTGGTGAAAAACCTTATAAATGCGAAATTTGTAGTAAGCAGTTTACTCAGATAAATAGTTTAAATTTTCATATAAGAATTCACACTGGAGAAAGACCTTATAAATGTGAAATTTGTAGTAAGCAGTTTATTCACCGAAGTAGTTTAAATTTTCATATGAGAATTCACACTAAAGAAAGACCTTATAAATGTGAAATTTGTAGTAAGCAGTTTACTCAACTAGGTAATTTAAATAGTCATATGAAAGTTCAGTGGTGAAAAACCTTATAAATGTGAAATTTGTAGTAAGCAGTTTAGTCATCGAAGTAATTTAAATAGTCATATAAAAGTTCACACTGGTGAAAAACCTTATAAATGCGAAATTTGTAGTAAGCAGTTTACTCAGATAAATAGTTTAAATTTTCATATGAGAATTCACACTGGAGAAAGACCTTATAAATGTGAAATTTGTAGTAAGCAGTTTATCACCGAAGTAGTTTAAATTTTCATATGAGAATTCACACTAAAGAAAGACCTTATAAATGTAAAATTTGTAGTAAGCAGTTTCATGCAAAATGTAATTTAAATAGTCATATGAAAGTTCACAGTAGTGAAAAACCTTATAAATGCGAAATTTGTAGTAAGCAGTTTACTCAGATAAATAGTTTAAATTTTCATATGAGAATTCACACTGGAGAAAGACCTTATAAATGTGAAATTTGTAGTGAGCAGTTTAGTCACCTAAGTAGTTTTAATTATC